AAAATTATATTGAATTAAATAAAATTCATATTAATAGAATATATTTCTAATTCTTCAACAATAAATTTTAAAAAAAAGAAATTTTAATTGATGATTTTATTTTATAGTGATAAATTCTAAGTTTAAAATAATATGTTAATGTCATTAAATATAGACAAATAATAAAGAAAATACTAATTATTAAATTCTTCTCAATCCTTTTTTTTATCCAATTTAAATTTGTTAACTTAAATTATCTTAGTTTTTATGAATTCTAAAAATAAATATTTTTTCATTTAAAATAATAAGAAAATAACAACTAAGACTTTACTCAACATGTAACAAGGGTATAAATGTAATTAATATTGTTAAAAGAAATAAAGTGAGACATCTGTTATGCAAAAACAAAAAAAAAAGAAGTTCAGTGTTGTTTTAGACTAAACTAGAAATAATATTTTGAATTCCTTATCAATTAATTATTTACTTATATTGATTAATCTAGTATTATATCAACTTATTATATTAAAAAAGAGAAATCATTTAATCAATAACAACGAATTAAATACTTTTTATCAAAATAAAAAAACGTAAAATTTGTTTTGAAGAATTTTTTTTTAATTCAATCCGTTTATATTTATCTATTAACTGATACATATATAGATATATGTTATATTTAACAGTCAAAAATGAATATAGAATAGTTTAATAAACAAGAATTTTCTCGACTAAATACTAAAAAAAAATTTCTGTGAATAAATCAATTATCTAATTTTTGATAAAATAATATATGATAAATAAAAATATTCAATTAAATGATATATATTAATTTATTGTTAAAGATGAATATATTTCATCTTTACCCTTTTCTCAATAAAACTTCATGAGAATTAAATCTTCTTAAAATATATTATTTACAGATCAACACGTTTGCAATCATATTACGCAAATGAAATTCTGAAATGCATATAATAACCCATTAATAATAAGGACTATTTTATATTCAAATATTTTACCTTCACTGTAGTCATCTAACTTTTTTTTTTCTACAGACAATTGAAGGAAACTTTATTATTAATTATTGCTGACGTCATTATTAAAAAGACTTAGTCTTGTGTCAAGTATATAAAGACAGATTGTAGGCTGTTTTTCATAAATAAATATCCTTTGTCACCTCGAAGAATAACAACAATATATTCAACATATTCTGACCATTAGGTTTTTAACTTGAGTATTTACAATCATAATTTAAAAATGTACTTTAAAATATCATTGTACTTAACCCTTTCCGGCCGGATGTTCCCGTTTGACAACATGGAGTCAATGTTTCTGCCAGATTGACTTAAGTTAATGACGTATAATTTTTATTAACACATTGATAATTACGCCAATATATTTCTGCGTAAATTCATACATTCATACGGAAAATATAAAGCTTTCAGTGAGGAGATGAAGGACTCAAATTCACGATGCCCCAAAAGAGTATCCGAGTCGAAACAATTACTTTTTCTTGTGCCTGAACATTCAATTGAAGATGCAATTAGTGGTAAATTTTCTTTCAAGGATCTGTACTCTACTGTATCACTAAATCGAATTATAGAATAAATCCGAACAATAAAAAATGAGGATGTTGCCAAATGGCAACATCCGGCCGTAAGGAGACAAAGATCTTGAAAAAGTCAATTTTTTTGTGTATCAAAATTCGATATTTTGTAGTTTTTTTAAATCTATACCTTCATATCACAGTACAGTTTGTCTTTTTGCCCGTTTTTTGCAGATCAAAGCTGAAATATCTTCAGAATATTCTAAAACTTTGTAAAATGATGCCAAACTAGCCAGTTTCTTCTAGAGAAGTTCTAAAATTCAAGGAAATTCTAAAAGTTTCAGAAAAAAACTGGCTAATTTTGTATCTTTTCGCAAAATTTTACAAAATTGTGGAGATATTTCAGCTTTGGCTTCCAAAAGACGGGCAGAAAGACCAATTGTGCTATGATATGAAGGTATAGATTCAAAAAAAAGCCACAAAATGTCGAATTTTGATACACAAAAAAGAAATTGACTTTTTCAAAATTTTTGTCCTCTTACGGCCGGATGTTGCCAAACGGCAACAACAAATCATTTGGTAACGAAAAGCATTTTTGTTCTAACGACTACACATTTGATATCTCCACGATAAGAGAACTACAAATTAGCTATAAAAGATATTTTTGTTTATACAGAAAAAAGAAACGAATAAACACTTTCATCATTAAATATTCGACATTTGTTTTGTTTTTGAAAAGAAGGAATTATGTAGAATTATCTTTAAAGTAATAAATATGATTTAAGTTTGAAGAAAAAAATTAGTTAATGATTTGTACATGTATGTAAAATACTAACATTGAACAACATTACGATACTTAATTGGAATATTTTCCTTGTTTTCAGACAAATTTCAGAAAAAAATTTATTGCCAAAGATTAACTAGTTTTTAAGAAGATTTTTAACTGAAAATCAATCAATTATATCAGAGTTATTAGATTTCAGAAGTCGCTTTCGTATTGAACTCCATTTTTTGTTATTATAATCATTGAAACTGAAGAGATTTCAAAAAGGAAAAACTTTGCAATATTTAAATATATTTTTTTGTTATTTATCAAATGTATCTTTATTCATTTCTTAATTTAAAAAAAAAACAGTAGATTCAAACAAGTAGTTTTATTCTAAGAATTTGTCTTTGGTTTTTTTTATAATGAACGTCTTGAAGGTGATTGATAAAACTGGACAAATCTGAATCGTCTATGATTATAATCGAATTGTTTTGTTTTTTTTTTCAAATTTAAAGTTAATATTAAGAAATTGATTGTTGATTAATAATTTCTATTTGGACAATTGTTCTTGGAAAAAAATTTGTTCTCTATTATGAATATGATAATAATATATAAAAATTTGAATTTGTTTCAGAGGTTGATTATTGTCAAAAAGAATTTATCAAAATTTTTTCAATTAATTAGTTCTATATGATTAATCTATAGTTAATAGAAATCAATGATACTTTTCTTTTTTTGTATTTTAAATAAAAATTCATCAAATTATTTCGGTATTTTTTTTTTTACATAAAAATAAATTTAATAATTTCTTTCATATTCTTAATTGAGACTAGAAAAAAAAAAGAAAAATAATTGAATAATAATTATAATTCATTTTATTTAAATATATTAAATAGATAATCAAATCGAATATGTTATATGTATTATTGTTGTTGTTGTTGTTGTTGTTGTTGCTTTTTTTTTTGGCTAATTTCTGTTAAGATAACCGGTTCTCATCAATCAATTGAATTGTTTTGTTGAATACTGATGTCATTCTCTATTCTGATACGTAAAAACTCCGATAAATAATGATATAGACATTTATGATACATTAGGAAGATATGATAGACAATTGAGAAAAGAGAATAGTGCACGTATGATCACATTAGGGAGATTATAATAACAAGTGAGACCACTAAAGGATATTTTCGCTTGTCAGATTACCAATTGATTCAATAAGAAAAAGAGACGTTTTTTTTTTTTCTTCTTACAAGGTCTTTTTATCAATATTGTCGTTTAGTTTTATTTTATTTTTTTATTATCTCTATTATGATTCTATGTGGAATTTCTATATTTCATCAACAATTATTTACCTATATAACACTTTAATATATTATTATTTATTTTATTTTACGATTATAAAAATAATGATAAAAATCTTTTGAACAATTCTATAAATAGTGTATAAAAAAAGAAAACAAAAAAATCTTCAATATATTATTATATATAGAAAGTAAAATAATATCCGTTGTATAATAATAACTTCCGATTAATTTACATAAAAAAAACTCGAAAAAAACAACAAGACATGTTGAAATGAACTGACATATTTGAATAATGATTCTTATTTCGAAGAATATATTCAAACGAAAATTCAATACTATTTATTTATCTCAAATAAGAAAACACTTCATTAATATATTCAATAGTTCATTACATTTTATAAAATACAAAAAAAAAAAATATTTAAACTTCTTCTTCTTTGTCTTTTTATTAATTCAATATTTCTAGTAAAATCTTAATTTAATTATGTTTTAAAAAAAAAAGAATGTTTATTTATATAGTAAAATAAAAATAAAAAATGCAAATGAATAATAAAATAAATTGTTGAAGATAAGGATTTGTACAAAAAGACAAGAAAAAATAAGTAAATATTCTTGTAAGATGAACTTCTATGTAAATGATAAAGGCTAATATTGATAAATAGTTAAGGTAATACTTCCTTCCTATTTATATATAAATTTAATTCAGATTAGATTTATTTTAACATTATCTACATATGATTAACAATTTATTTATTTATTCCAACTAAAAATCTATTTATTAAATAAATAAATGATTGAAAAATTTCTTTGTTATTTTATTGAATTCAGATATATATTGATAGTGAGAAAACTGTTTCTATTTCCCATAATTATATGTTTATTGAAATCTCTCATCAATAAATTGTATAAATAAATGAGTTAAAGGTGTTCATATATATATATATATTTGTCATTTATTTTCTTTGAGTATAATGATCAGTTGTTTCTTATGATATGAAGCTGTCATCATCTATTCTCATTTATTTATCTTATAACTAATTCTTTGTTTTATCTTTCTTTGTTCTTATCAATAAAACAAAAAAATAAAAATGTTTATTTTAGAAATAAATGCTTCTTCTTCTTCTTCTTCTTCTCTCTATCTGAAATGTTTATTGTGAAAAAAAACACACACACACACACAAAAGAGAAAAAGTTGATTTTATTTTTTTTTTCTAAAATGATGATTGACATATGTTATATATAAAATGATTTGTTGAAAAGATAAAAATCAATTTAAAGATTTGATGATGCAATTTATGATAAGTTAATCCAGAGAATTGAAATATGAGATGATCTTGTGTTTAAGAACAGATGTTTATACAGAAGCTCATTGAAAAGTGTTGAAGAAAAAGATATATGTATCATTTGTTGATGGGTAACACAATATGCTCGTTAAAGGTCTATCTTATATCAATGATTTGTTCGACTATGACAACAATTGACCGTTCTCAAGTCCGGATAAAGAACATTTTCAATTTCTTATTATTAATATCATTCATTACTATATTTATTATCTATTTTATGTGACAATACATTTAAACACATGCTGCTAGACATCATTTATTTTTCTTTTATTTGATAAGCATTAATATCATTCTTATACTATATACATATCAATTAGAATTCTAATCGATTTTCACGCTTATTTTCATTTGCCGTTTTTTTTTTCAAACAAATCTTAAACAAAATGCAAATTAAATAGTTAACCTTAAATAATATTCATTTTATGCCAATGCCATTCGATATCTATATAACTCAGATTTCCTTTGATTATATCTTCAACCGAACAATTATTATCATTTATTCAATTTAAAATATTTACAACGATTATTTATCAACACCTTCTTTTTTTTTCTTCTATGAAACAAAAAACAAAAAAAGTTAAGAAGTAAACATTTAGATTTGAAATATTGATTTTTATTAAATTTATTTAAAATGTTCTTAGAACATCAACTGATCAATCGTGTTTTCTTTTTTTTATTCATATCGAACTAAACAAATATTTAATTATTATTCACAACGAAAAGAATAAATAATCATTTCAAATTATGATTATGATCAAAAATATTAACTTTATCATTAAATATTGAGATAAATTAAGATGAATAATCATCTTCTAGTTTTGTTTTTTGTTGTTGTATATTAATATGTTAAATATAGTTTCTGTTCAAGTGAATAAATGAAAGATTATTTTGTTTTTATTTCTATTAAACAAACAAACAAACAAAGAAAAAGAAAAAAAAGAAAAAGAAAAAGATTGATACGCATATAATTGTTTGATGATGATGATGCGATGTATATATATATATATGTAATGTATTTCACTGTTAAATTCTTCGATGATATTATTGTTAATTGTGGAATGAGAATATCTGACATGCACAATGTCCGACTGATTCGAAAAAAACAACACAAAAAAAAAACAGAATATCATTTGAAAGGTTTAAATGCACCAATAGTTGTTGTTGTTTGACTTGTCGTATTTTGTCTTTCTAAAAAACAAGAGACAAAACTTATTTGTATAAAGATTAAAGAGTTACTGACGTGATCAATTGGATATATTACACTTGACTGAGAGATGAATAGAAAAGCTTTAACAAATAAAATAAAACAAACCTTGAAGAGATGTTGAAGATGATCGATGAGGATTTTTTTCCGCCATATCAGCAAGTGACCATATTCCTGAAGATTTTTTTCTTTCAACTGGTTCAATTTCATCAAATTTTCGTTTTCGACATGAATCATCTGTTTTTTTTTAAATTAGAAATTAAATTTTTATTTAAAAAAATTAAAAATAAACCTGTTATTGTTGTTGTCGTTGTTGTTGTTGTTGTTTGTTGTGTTTGTATATGTTGTTGATGTTGAAGAACAGTAAGTGGAGCTGATAGATAATGATTTTGTGTTGTTATTCGTGCTGGTGGGGAACTACATTCATCATCACTAGCATCACTGTTTGATCCGACACCTTGTCGATCATCATCATCATCATTCGTTCTTTTAGTTTAATAAATAATATATTTTTTAGAAACAAAATGAATAAAATCTTGGTTTTTTTTTTTTTTTTGAGTTTACCTATTTCTTGGTGACCAAGTCATTTTATTTTCTTTTTTTAATCTTCTTCTAGCATTAGCAAACCAAGTTGAAACTTGTGTTAATGTCATTTTCGTCATAATAGCTAAATAAACTTTTTCTGATTTCGTTGGATATGGATTTTTTCTATGTTCATATAACCATGCTTTTAATGTTGCTGTTGTTTCTCTAGTTGCATTTTTTCTTCTACCAGCTAAATCCATATGAGGAGAATAACTTAAAAAAAATAAATATATTCAATAACAAAAAAAAAGCAGGTCTAAATAAAAAAAAATTACGATGGTCCATATGGTGAATAACCAATAAGAGCAACAGCTGCAGCTGGATCATATACATATGGATTATGATGACGCCATGGATTTCCATTAATTAATGAATTCATATTTACATTTGATTCCTTTAATTAAATAAATAATTTGATTTATCTTGATTAAAAACTAAACACACACACAAAATAAAAAGTTTACTTTAATTGTATCGGATGGATTAAGACCGGTTATCCTATAGAATAATATATTTTATTAAATGTCAAATAAAATGTTTTTATCATGATTTAACTTACATAATTAAATAGAGAGAAAAAAAAACCGAAGCAAGTGTTTGGTTGTTGCCTTTCTCTTTTTTATGTTTGGTAGTTGGCTATGTTAATATGTTGTTAAACGAATAGGCATAAGAACAACGAGAGAAAGCGGAGAAAAAGAAAAACTAAGATTGTTTCTTGTTGTAGACACGATTGATACTCTCTTTTCTCTCATCCACCCTATTTGTCGATAAACTATTCAAGAAAAAAATCTCATTGGTTGACATTCGAACGAGACACCATGTTTTACATTCTTGTTCGAGTACCTTGTTAACATCGCCAACGGGTGAAAGAAAAAAAAAAAAAAAAAAAAAAGGAAACTTTTTCTCTTCTTATTGGATAAAGAAATAGAAGAAGAAGAACAAGAAGAACACGAAGAGAAAAGAAAAAGGCAACACTAATAATGAAGAATAGTGCCCTAAGTAAATCATCGAGTCATTATAGAAGAGAGAAGAGAGTGGCCTCACCCTCTTAAGTCAACATCAACATGACGACAACGACGCCATTCCCCACTTCTTCTTCTTCTGCTTGTTCTCTCTTCTTCTTCTTCTTCTTCTTCTTTTTTCAATAAGCAAACATTGCATTTATCGACTCAAATGGAGACAATTATTCTCCAGTTACTCTTACTTATCAACAACAAAAACTAAAGAACATAAACATTCAATATTATGTTTGTCTTTCACCATCTGCAACTCACTTAGAGACTTTTTTTTTTCTAAATGGAATTTATTTTAAACGAGTCTCGTTCTTTCTTTCTTTCTCTTTTTTTTTTTTTGTTGTTGTCTATTTAAGTGTTAAGAATCATTTAGATCGTGTCGAAACCTTTTAACTTTGAAGATAAGACACATAGTTAATGTCAAATGACACATATTGATTTAAAGAAAATGATGTAATTGTCTATAGTTAGTTGTCTGATGATGATTATTATTATTATTATCATCATCATTGAATGACCATTGAATAAACAACAATATGCAGACATTGTTTTTTTTCTTAGTCTAATTAGAGAAGATCTGCTTGTTTAATTGGAATGATAGAAGAAGTCAAGATGATTGATGAGACAAGTAATGTGTCTTATTTTCTTTTGTCAGTCTCCACCATAATACAATTCGTACGCTTGTTTTACATAATGATGTATCGATATGTGACGACAGATAAGCACCTTTCTATGAATTGACAAATCTTTTTTTTTCTTTCTTATCTAAGACTAAGATAATATCTTATTCTTTTTCTTATTAGAAAATGAAATTGAAAAATAAAGATCAAATGATAATTGACACTTTTCAAAATTCGATTGACCATATTGAGTTAATCAAGAAAAAAAAAAAAAGAAGAAAAAAAAGAGAAGCTTAAGTACTTGTGAAATTGTTTTATCAACATTGACAATTGAGACAAGGAGATGAGAAGAATAACTTATTTTTCAGTGACACTCGTTTCTATTCATTTTCTTCAATAGACAGAAGATTAAAAGATACTCTACTCCAATGTAAATATATACAGATTCTTTTCTATCAGTATGCCGTTTTTCTTTTTTTTTTTTTTTAATCATTCTCTAAGAGAGGAATAAGTTTAGTTCCGGCAGAATTCCAATAGAATAGAAAAGCATGTCGAATCACAAGTGGACGTATGAGCAAATAACAAACTACTGTGAGAGTGTATGATCGCTCCCTTCCGTTCACTTCTTCCTCTATTATATTGTATATGACCGACAATCGATAGTCAGCCAATGAAAATAATTATTTCTTTTTTTTTTTTTCGTCATCATCAACTAAACAAAAAATATAACAATCCTTCTTTAATAGAAAAGATTCTTTTTTTTTTTAGTAAGAGCTCAAAGGTAAACACGTTAGTTAAATTGTCATTGTTATTTTGTTTTTAAATGTTGACATAGAAATTAATTGTCAAAACAAGTTATTGTTTTGTCTAGTATACTATGAGAAAAAAAGCAAAATAAAATAAGATTGATCAAATTAAATATAGAGACTAGTCTTTATAGAAAATGTTTCTTTTTTGTTTTGTTTTATTTCCAAGATCTAAATCAGTGTTATATTCGGTAGTATGATGTGTGTTTGATTGATCAGCATGGCGTGTGTCTATAAACAAAGATATGAGTTGAAGTGTATATTTGCAATTAGTGTGATAAGAATTGAAATGCACGCGATTCGTTTCTCGTCTGTCGTTAATAAGTCAAGTGTAGATTAAGTTTCTTTATCATCATTCATCTGTAATTTCAAAGACTTTTCTTTTTTTTTTAAAGAAGGAAAAAAAAACGAAGGTGATGTTGCTTTTAGTCAATATGATAATTGATCAATTGACTTAAAACTACACCTTTAAGCTAAAATCGATTTAAACGTAACGATAAATCGATTGATAAGAATAAATAAAAATCTCTAATTGAATAAAAACAGGCGGGTAGAACTGTTAATAATGATAAATGAGAAAAATTATCTCGATTTGTCTTTCGTCTTCTTCATTAAAAACTCGTTTTTCTTTTGTTACATAAAACATATGTTACCTTGAATAACAACCATATGTACAATATCATCTTATTGGCTTGTTATTTGTTTTTTTAAAAATATTTTTTCGAATAAAAAAAAAAAAAGAAATGTGTTGTTGTTTAATAACAAAATTATTTGTTTGTTCCGTATCGAATCGAAATATTTGTTGATTGTGACAAGATCTGAACAACATTTTTATTGAACATTTTTTTTGTGAGAACAAAAAAGAAAAAGTCAAGTGACCGATCATTTCTTTATATTGATCAATTAAAAAGATGATTTGATTGTCAATTTAGTTGAATAATGTTATTCAAATAAATCCATATTGAAATCAACTGGAAAATCGAACATGAAAAGAATTTTTTTTTGATCATATTATTTGCATATTAATCTTTTTCTTATTTAAACATAATCAATTTATTTTTATTTAGTTCATTTTCAAGTTTATTTTTATCAACAAAAAAGTTACTTCATTTTCGAATAAGTTAATTATCTTGGGGTTTTTTTTTAGAACTAAAATAACATATGTTCAAATTGAAATTTGTTTATAGAGTTTTATTTTATCTATTAATCAAATTCAATTGTATCATTAAAATCGATCAACTTAAAGATTGAACATATAAATGTCGATATTAGTATCATATCTCTATAAACAGTTAAACTAATCAACGAAATAGATGTCAGAGGATTTGTTGACATAAACATTTATATGAAATTATTTTACTAAAGAAAGATCAATTGTTCTTTTCTCTCTTTCTCTCTCTTAGCAAATTAACAAAATATATATTTACATTTTGTATTCGAATAATAAACATATTCGTTTTTAAAAAGAAATTTTATTTTCTTCTTAAGAATTTATTTCGATTAGTCAACGCAAAAATAATAATTGATAAGCTAAACGATGAAAACACATAGTCAAACTATTCTTATTATTTAATTGAAGTGCACATTTATGTTGATCTTGATTTTTTAATGAAGTGTTTTTTTTATCGATATTTGAAAAAAGAGTTTACTGTTCTAGAGAAATAAAAAAGAATTGAGATTTTTCGACTAGATTTAAATTTGAATGTGTTTCGAAAAATCTATGTGATTATTTAAGCATTTATTTATCCAAAAATTAATTTTATTTTCAAAGAAAAAATAAAAAAACATTGTCATGTTAAGTATCAAACTTTATTTATTTTATTGAAAAAATTCTTTCAAATAAATGTTATTCTACAATGAATAACTACTTTCTATTTAGACTTGCAAAAACAAGTTTTGTAATATAAAGAAAGAAAAAAAGAATTCATTTTAAGTAAGTTTATCATCAAAGATAATTATTTCGACATTTAGAATTTGTCTCTAAAACTGATATTAAATGACATATTATTTCCTTAAATTTCAACGTATTTTACTCTAATACGTCATTTTGTTGTATGAGCTTACGTAAAAGAATGACGTCATTTATTACCATCCTATTTCGTTGAAGACGTCATTTTCTTTGATGTGAACAATTATGAAAGGATTCTATATAAATCCATCTCGGATTAGATTAACGTTTTTTTCTTTTTCAAATTGATTTTCAACAAAATAAAGAAGAAGTTGTATTTACTTTCCAATCAATTTCAATGATTAATTTATAAAAAAACATTCATCAATGACAAACTGTACAAAACACTCACTCATGTAAAAGCATAAACTTGAATTAAATTATTGAAAAGATTTTTGCTTTCAATATTTAATTATTTCCTTTATATATGAGATATATTCTATTGTATCTATCTGATTATACTATATTGAATTTTCCACATTGACCTACATAGATAGAGATTTTTTAGTATATCGATAACAAAGGTTCACTATTTCAAAATTTGAAAGTATTTTTGATGAATTATTTTACTTTTGGATTATTTTTTCAATAGGAAAAAAAAAATATTTAAATGAAATAATAAATGAGAAATTTTATCTTTTTCAACAAGTCTATTAAGTATAATTTTAAAAAGCATGATTATATCAATATTAGAATTTAACAAAAAAAAATATCATCCTTTATGATTTTTCAAAAAAAAAAAAAATATTCGATTAATAATTGAATAAAGTAAAAAATAATAATTGATAAAAATGAAAAAGAAGTCATATTAAAATGCAAATAAATAGAGATAAATTAATTGAAAAAGATTTTCGAATAATAAAATAAGTTAATAAAATATAATTTCAATGAAGTGCAGGAATTTCTTGATTAATTTGATTGTTTGGTAGATTTTTGAAAAACTTTTGTTGAACCCATGATATAATTTGTGGCATGTTTTCTTGTACTCTTTTTTGAATTAATTGACCAAGACGAGTTTCAGCTTGAGGTTCTTTTTCAAGTAATTTTTTTCCTAATGGTGATGAATAAAATTTAATTAATCCATTTATATCAGATAATGTAAAAAGATCTCGATAGATTTCAATTATATCAGGACGTAATGATTGAAATGAAAAGAATTTATTAATAAATGACATTATATCCGATTTATACATCGAAAGAACTGGATCACTGTTTATATTTGTTTCTAAGACATTTTGGTACGTCTTTTCAGCTTCGGTTATATTAAGTAAATAATTTATACGACTTGCTAGTTTTCCATTTATTGAAGATTTACCTTCGATTCCAATTGAGAAAATAATAACAACAATTACAAGAAAATATAAACGAATAGACATTTTTATGTATTTATCAATGATCGAATGAAGATTCTTTTTTTTCTTTTTTACCTTTTTCTTTTTCTTTTTTAGCGTGATAAGAATTTAATTGATATTTGATCGGTGTTTTTTTTTTCATTCTACTTTGAATGAAAGATAATTCTAATCGAATACTTTTTTTGTTTGTTTCTTATTTGATCCGTTAAATAAAAAATCTACTTTTCAATTTATATCAGAAGAATACACTCGGGGACAATTGAATTTATACCCTTTGATCTTTTTGTTTTTTATTATTATACGGTTTTATCTATTAACTTACTATATATAGGAAGAAAGCCCAGAACTCGCTGCATCTTTTGGTATATTTACGTTGAACATCAAATGCAGTTTAAAGTATAAAAAGTGTATTAGAAGAAAAAGAACATTTTTTTTATTGCCAAAATCGGGTGTCCATAATGTTGTCACATTTTTTTATTTCGCATATATCTCGGCTTAGGAAAATGATAAAACCTTGAATTTTTTTTCAAAAGATGCGCCGTGAAAAGCTCTACAAAAGCCATATGATTGAATTCCTTTTTACCTGTTCTAATGGTTCTTCTTTTGCTCAAAATGAAAAACTTACAGGTCTAGTTTTACTTCCCATAATATAGAAAGTATTTTGAGAAATTTTTCGATTCGCTATATAGGATTCGGTCTATACAAGTTTTGTAGAGCTTTCGACGGCACATATTTTAAAAACAAATCCAATATTCCATCATTTTCTCAAGACGACATATATGCAGAACAAAAAAAAAGTCTTCCAACATTTTCAGTATGATGGGAAGTGACACTGCCATGTAAGTTGTTCATTTTGAGTATAAGAAAAACCATCAGAACAGATAGAATGGAATTCGATCATATAGCTTCTGTAGAGCTTTTCACGGCGCATCTTTTAAAAAAAACTCAAGAGTTTATCATTTTCCTAAGCCGAGATATATGCGAAATAAAAAATGTTACAACATTATGAACACCATGGAATTAAAAAAATTGTCCGTTTTCTTCTAATACACTATTTATACTTTTAACTGCATTTAATGTTTAACGTAAATATACCAAAAGATGCAGCGAGTTCTCGGCTTTCTCCCTACATATAGTAAGTTAATAGATAAAACCGTATAGTAATAAAAAACAAAAAGATCAAAGGGTATAAATTCAATTGTCTCCGAGTGTAGTTTAAGAAAACGATTAACTTGTATTCCACTATGAAATAATCGCATGAATATCGCAGGGTGATTCTAACTACCAGTATACACACTACTATTCATAGAAACCGATAGTACAATGGTAATCAGCTATGCTACCAGAGACTGACACGCATGAAAAAATCTCGATTCGATTCGATTCGGTTTCGACAGTATCTATTTTCGGGTTTGGTTTAATTTCGATCTCTAGATGGGTACTCTTTACAACTGCTAACTTTATCTATAAACGATAAGGATATTTTCAATCTAAAATTGATTTATTTATTCATAAGAGATTCGATGTAACTAAGAACGAAACCCTTTCAGTAGTGTAAAACTTGAAACTGGAATTCAATTGAAATTTCAAGTTTTCAAGTTTTGAAATTTTCTGAATTACTGTGTATACAGAGACGTGCATGGGTCGCGGCGCTAATATAAAAGGTCAGTTAGGTGGGGAAAAGCATCTACCTCCCCTATTGGAAACTTGAAAAAAAACTTGAAATTTCAATTGAATTCAAGTTTCAAGTTTTACATATATGGCACAAAGAGCATCATATTTTCGAAAATTAGATGAAATACGCCAAAATGGAACACTCACATTCTATCAGTAATTTCCAGTTATCGTTTTTCGCCACCCTAAGAGTATTTTACACCGTTTTGGAAATGAAACATGTTTAACAGTGGAGAAAAGAAACGAACTATCTGGGTTGATAAGTAGGGTTAAGGAAGAATGCGTACAAATCAAGGAAAAGGTAAACTTCCTTTTGAATTTTTATGACACAAACATGTAATTTAGGACCTCGTCTTGTAGTAAGTGCATTCATCAACTAGAATGGTTTCCATCATCAATCAATCGATTTGTTCAAATGCGACCAAGAACACTATGGATTCCATACATTTCATACACTGGATCTGTCAAACATGTTCCAAGCTACGAACAGAACTTGGTAGGAGTTTTGCTTATTTAATTGTTCTTGACGCTTTTTATCAAGGAAACGCAACTTCAATAACTATTATTATCGACAATGCGTCTTGGCATCGTGAAGTAACAGATGATACAAATCCACCTCAACGTTCATGGAGAAAGCAAAGAATAGCTAACTGTCTTGATGACCATAGTGTATTATATGCTAATGATATTTCGAAGGAAGAGTTGCTACAATTGGCATATGAAAATTTACTACCAAAGAAATATAAAGTGGATGAAGAAGCAAAAAAGTATTGAATTAATATCTTACGGTAGAGAAAACCTATTTATATCTACCACGTACTAATATTTTTTTTGTTAGTTTGCCGATGAAACATTGTACCTTAAATCCTATCGAATTAGCTTGAGCCAATATGAAAACATATATACGTGATCGAAACATGAATTTTACTTTGGCTAAGGTGAGCAAACTGACACAAGAATGGATCGATAGCTTGGATGCGACAGAAGCAACCAGCTACATCAATCATGTTCAGCAATGTGAGGCGACATTTAAACAGGTCGACGTTTATATTGAAGAAAAATTAAATGATGATTGCGACGATGATGTCTATAGTGCTTATGGTACAGATACAGATGATGATGATAAGTGATATTTATGTCAATTTTGTGTAAACAACTTGATATCGTTTTCGATTGGTGGGTTAGGACTCAGAACATTATCTCGATGAAAACAGAAAGAACTCATCAATAAAATTATCTTAAGACATTGGTTCATTATCATCAAAACCTACATCTAGAGTTTGTTTTGTTGATATTCTAAACAAAAGAAAAGGCTACGAAGGTTAATAAATCATGTCACGAAATCGAAGACTACTAAACATTACAGAGGGTAATATGTTTTATCCACTGAAATTTTGAAAAAAAGTTGGCCACCAGCTTTCAATAAATTTTTTGTATTTTTGGAACGGAAACAGCTATTAATCTCGGCCTTGCGTGGATCGATAGAGGCGACGATAAGCTATCTATCCACTATATTATAATTAATAAACCATATTGTATTTTATGTCAGATTCGGTTCATCTTTAAAACTCATAGTGTATGTAAGACAAAAAATGAATCAAATTTTTTATCGATCTTATAAAAAGATAGAGCAATCTTGACTCTAGATACTGTTAAAATATCAGCTCTTCATCTCTTGTTACTATGAAGTCATTCAAAAAATGCCCACGGCCATTTATCTCTGAAATGGACATTAATCTCAGAACTGAAAAGATTATTTGCTGAGACTGCTTCAGAAAAGAGTTATAGTCAAAAAACTTTTTGCCTACTTACTATATTCTTACTAATATGTTCTTATACTTTAATAAGGAATTTGAATTCGTCTCAGTTCGACTTGAGTGTTTGGTTTCTACATTCAAAAATTTGATCATTTTTATTAGAATATTAGATTATTACGATGATCTATCTTTGCTGTGGTTAAATAATAAACACGTTCAGCAAAGCTTGCAAATGCAATTTTTTGGTGCACATATTTGATACATTCATTCATTGTTGAATTTTATGTCTGAATTTTGTCTATCTATTCATTCTCGTTAGAAAAATAAATAATCCACCAATTTATAAACTACACTCTTTTTAGAGAGGAGGTTATATCCTTATTTCAAGTATCATCTGTCAAAATGATGACAGCATCTTATAAGCTAGTATACAATTATGTACGCATAGTAATTAGGTACAAACTTTTTTGACTATAACTTTTCCTGAAGCACTCTCAGTGGGTAATCTTTCCAGGTCTAAGATTAGAGTACTGGAGTTGACTAATCTATGTACTTTTAATAGGAAAATTCAGGCACGCAGTCAGAAACCTTTCCTTGTTAGACTGAAAAATCTGACTTGATGAGAAAAACTATCTTCTATCCAGCAACAATAGATGTGTTGCGAAGAATACTAGAAATAATGTTCAGACAGATAGTGCCAACAACTGCATTTGTATGCTGCCGATTTTTTTACTATAATCCAATGATTTATTCCGATTCGACATGTTTTTTTCATGTTCAGAACAATGTCAAAAGAAAAACAACTACTTTTGAAGACCAGTACTATTCGTGTCCTTTTTTTTCTCTATTTTGTTTGAAATGAATGTTTCGTCATTTTTCTACTCACAGGATTGAAGGTCTTCAGTCAACAGAATAGTGTATATTAATGCGCACAATAAGCTGAACGATAAAAATTTCGTTACTTTCTCTATCAATAATTCATTCTTATCATATACTATTGAACATGGGTATATCAATCGAAGTATACTAATCAATTCTACCTTTTTCTGTTGTGTATTTAATTTTGATGCTCATATATTTTTTCTTCTTGTAGAAACAACAATTAGTATTCGATATTATTAAAATTACTTTTCAAATGTAAGAATTAATTAAACAAACATCTAATAAGTCATGACGTAGTTTAAGTAATACTGATTTTGCACGCTATACAAAACTGCTTAAACAAAATTCTGCTATGCTAGAACAGATCTACATATTGATGCAGAACAACGGCGATTTGTACAACATCAAAAAATTTATGTCAGACTTTTTTTGATATTCTTTATGGTATTTCTTTCTTTGTGATATTTTCCTGCATAAATTCATGTATCGATTTAAAACACATTGAAATCTTTTTTTGCCATATATACATCGTATTAGAGTCAAATGATTCTATGCACTTGTCGATGGACATCGTCACATTTTTAAAAAACTTGCAGTTGTTTCAAGGGAAAAAGCGTCAAATGGAAAACTGCAATCTATTCCCATGTGATGAAAATCGCCAAAATATCGGCGATTTATCGCGATTTATCATGCCGATTAATCGTGCGATTATATCGCGATAAAATCGCCGGCTTGGGCGATTTTTGGCGATTTTTTACCGATTTTTCCAAAAAAATCGCGATTATTTCGCGATTTTGTTCCAATGAATAAAAATGGTCCTTTTCACTCCTGATCCTAATATTTTACTACTTTTTCTACCTTTTTTCATACTACGAATTTTAGCTTCCATAAAAACGTTTTTCTTTATTTTGGAATAATTATTTATTTTTTACAGAAAATAAGAATAAATTAACAAAATTTGAACAACAAAAAATACACCAAAAACTCTTTGATGGCACAAAAATCATAATACAACCAAAAGAAAGAATAAACAAACAATAAGACTTTGAGAAAAAATAATCTGTGTACAATTCAAGTGAAATTTATTATTCAATATGTCCATCCGTTTCATTTTTACTTCTGTTGGTCATTATTAATTCGACTTGGAGTTGGTTCTCTTGAAGTACTTGTAATGGATTCATCTAAGGCAACAAGAAAATAAAAGTCAGTGGATACTTTACAAAATGAAAATTTTTCAATTTTAACTTACTTGTGGCTGCTTGTAACTTTAATGTTCTTCCCTGATTACGACGCTTACTGAGTATAGCATCATGCACGGCTGGCCAAACCATGGCCATGTCCGTCGTGGAATAATTAAATTTTTGCCTAATAGCACCTACAACAAACAAAATAACATGAAAATTGATATAAAATTGTTTAGAAACGTTATTGATTACGTACCATATATAGCTTGAATGCGTTGATCTTCATCAATATTTCTAGAATCAACATTCTGTAAATCTTGTTTATCAATAAATAGTAAATCAATTAATTTTAATGCATATTTGACTGTATTTTCTCTTGTTCCATATGTTTTCAATAATTCAATAACAACACCATCACTTCTGGTATATTTCTAATATGAGAAAAATAATCAAGTAAAAGACCGCAAATCAGTAAGTACGCATAACACATGCGAATACATGGTTTTAAAATTTAGCTACTTACTGGTTCAGGATCAGTAGAATCAGTAGTCTTGACATTTGAATCTTCATTATCATTTTCAAGAACGACTGGAATCTAGAAAATAAAATTGTTGTGCAGGAACAAGAATATAAGAATAAGAGTTCTTCGTACTTTATGTCGATTTAAACTCCTAGTAATTTTTTTTTGATTTGTAGATAAAGCATTTAAAAATTTTTCTTGACGTTCTAACATGACTACCACCTGCTCTTGTTGTTTCTGCAATTTCAGCAAGTTGGCATTAACTTGTTTGATATGATTTAATATTTGTTGCTGATCCGCCTGTCGATCTTCATCTTTTTCATTATTATGATCCGATGTAAAACGTAAACGTTTGGCAATAGGTATTTTTTTTTGTTGTTTTGACATACGTTTTTTTGAATTTGTAGATGATGGTAATGGTATAAAATTCAATGATACATCATATTGCGAATCATCTTCATCATCATGTGATCGTAAGTCAAAATTTTCATCTTTGTCATCATCTGAGCTTGATAAATCGTGATCAGATCCTTTTTGACCTTAAAACATATAGCAAAAAATTCGATTAAATAGAAACTGATTTTTTACCTTGAGCACGTGTATCTAAGTTTACGTTACTATCAGCCAAATGAGATTCAGATGGTAATGATAAGGGTGAAGTTTGAAATAATTCATTAGTAACTATTGGTGTGTGACCTATTTACCGAAGAGAAATCAGTAAAAACCATACGATTTATCAAAAATTACTAACCAAAGGCAACTTTTTTTAATGAAAATTCTTTTGACGTAGGAGCTAAAATCAAAAATAAATAATTATTATACATCATTTCAGTAGTGCCATTTATTTACTTTCTCGATTTTGTTTTCCTGATGATTTTGAAGCTGTTGTGAGTGGTGTTGTGAAAGATTTTAATTGATTTCTTTTTTCTTTATTTGCTCTCCAATCTTCACAATCAGAAGGGACTTCTTCGTGCATTTTAGATTGCATTGCTTTTTCCAATAACTGAGCATACCTTTCCATGGATTCTTGTGAACCTAAGTATATGAAAAAATGTATGCATATTAATTATTTACACAAAGATAGCTATACCAGTTTGCTCTACACGAATATTATAAGATTTTCCAAGCTCTTTAATTATACCAAAACCTCGATCATCTACGTTTGACAATCGTTTCGAATCAACTATACTGTATTTAAGTGCTTCATCAGGGTAAGTAATGCATGAATAATTTTTTGTTTCTTTTGATACACGTTGTGTGGGATGAGACCTTTGACAAATGTTTGATTTTGAAGACATCTAAAACAAAGGAAAAAGTACAAAAATTACAAGTATGTAGGAAGAGGAGAAGAAGAAAGTTTTTTATTTTGATCTCTCATAAGGAAACAAAAATAACGATTTAATTTGTAATGGAAAAGAAAACACATAATAAAAACTTTGATATTATAAACAACAACAGGAACTACATAAAATGAAGCCAACATAAACAAAATAAGAAAGAAATGAAAAACCACGAAATACCAAATCATTTATTATTTTACTTATCTGTTACTGATACGAAATCATGACAGCTTTTAACAAAACTCAATGATTATTTTTGTTTATTCGAGCTTTTGGTAAAATGCTTTCACCATCATCAGAAAAGATAACAAGAGAAAAAGAACAGGACACATATATATATATAGTCAGCTGATTATGACAAGAAAAACAAAGAAAGAAAGAAGATATATATTCGCGAATCCATATTTTCTTTCTTTCTTTCTTTGTTTTCCTTGTCATAATCAGCTGACTATTTGTGTATGTATGTGTCCTGTTCTTTTTCTCTTGTTATCTTTCCTGATGATGGTGAAAGCATTTTACCGAAAGCTGGAATAAATAATAATAGCCCTTGAATTTTATTAAAAAATCTCATGTATTTCTTAGCAGCCATTTACTCATTTCTTTCTTTTATATCTACTGCTCCACCTAATGGATTTATCTGTTTCTCTTAAGACAAACGTAGGGGACGTAGATGTATTTTACACGTCATTATCAGACGTAATGATTGAGAATTAAATCATCCATAGACTATGCCCCTCTTCATCTGTATCGATTTTTGTAAACACTGCAATGAAAGAGGGAGAAAATAATTTTTTTTTTCTTTTTCTTATTATAGCTGCTGCATTGCAGTGTGTATAAAAATTAATAGTGACAAAAAAGAACATACTCTATCGTCAATTTAATTATTATGTCCCAAACAGACTAGACGAAATAACACTGAATTCAACAGCGTGATTGGTCCGTCTATATTTAGATTAGCTTTCAGAGATGATTTAATGGTTGATTCAGTTTTATTTCGTCTAGTCTGTTTAATCCTTTATTCATTTTGTCTGATAATGATGAATGAAACACATTGAAAGTTCACACTTTTCTTATGAATGAAAGATTAAAAAATGCTAAACGAGTTAGTCTTTCTTGTCTTTTATTTACTTAATTATATTTCTTTTGACAATGTTTATTTAAAGAAAAAGAAGAAAATAGTAATAATATTTAATCGTGTTCACATTTTACACGCCTTTCACTAATACATTGGTATTGTTGGAATGGTACCGATACACATTTATTAACAATACGACTAGCTGGAATTATAACATATGTATCACTTAAAAAGCAAATAGGATAAAACAAATCGATTGTATCTTTTAATTCATCGGGAATTTCCAGAGAGTCAGAGATTTTAACTTCAGCTCGATGATATTGTTGTATTAATAAGTAGCGTACACTGTCGAGCGCATAAAAAAGAATAATATTACCATAATGAATTTGTTGATGATTATCATTATACGATATTAAATAACTCATACAGGTATATCGCTTACTATATAGAAATGAATGATAAGTTAGAAATTTATCTTTAAAACGTAAATATAATTTGATCATAGTAATATCGTGTTGTAATTCGTGTAATTGTTTTACTAATATATCGCGATAAGCGTTCAATAAATGGCTATCTAGATTTATTTCATTCACTAGTAATGGCGACGGTAGTTTAAATTCCTTGCATGGTATAATTGTATCAATATCACACCAGTAACCGATTTGTGATCCAAGATTTTTTGTTCCATGAGATTTATTTTTAATATGTCGAATTGCTGATTCAAAACAAAAGGAAGATGTGAAAGCTAATCCACCGTGGTCTAGAACAAAATAACCAACAGTATTAGATAACTGTTTAAATAAGAACATCACCATACAAAGAAAAATTATGAAACTGATGGGAAAAGATATGGTCACTTACTCAACACTTGTACCGGTAGATGTAAGTGTGCATGTAATGAATATAGTTCAATCTGTAGGCCATATACTTTTGATGATGTTTCACAATAATAATGAATTAATTTCTTAGATAATTCAATCTCTTCTCTTGTTTTGGGACAATGTACAATTGTCACAAACAGACAATAAATAGCAAAATGTGATATATGCAATGTCGGTAAATATGGTGCAAGTATTGGTAGAGCTAAATGCAGAATAAATAATCTATTATTTTTTGCTTTCCAATTATTAATTGATTGTATTGAGTAATTATATTTGACGTTAACATCATGTGGTAAACGAATATTTGATAGAATTGTATCGATTTTTTCAAGATCATTTTTTGATAAAACTTCTGTGAAATGTCGAACTAATGTCGGTACATGGTTCAAGCAAATTAAATGCATGTAATCATATACAACATCATGAGGATAACGCAAAACTTTTAATAATGATGATAAACCTTTAATTCCGAGAATGGATGTACAACGACCACTACCACTTGTTATTTTAGCTTCAACTTCTTTTGCTGTTGTTACAAATTGTTCATGGGTTCTTATTTGATAATTATTCTTTTCATATGGATAAATAATTTGCTTGTTGTACAATGTTCCTAAATATACATAGAAAAGACCAGAACAAAACAGTGGTAGATTATAATTGTTATTAGTACAAAAAGAGAAAACAGGTAAAGATAAATACCTTCAGTAATACAATTGGTGCATGTGTAATAGCCATTGAAATTAATAGTTTTCATAAAAAGAGATTTAGCTGGTAAATCTGAGACAAACATTTGAGTGTTAACATTAATTTTAAATTCATAATCATTAACAAATATTGTTGTACCATTTTCTGATAATTCAATTAATTGTTCTATGATATTTTCTAAAAACAAATTAACATCCGGTTTAATGCATGACACCCATAATCCTAACGTCAAAATGTTCGATTGATATTCACGCACAGGTGGGGGTAATTCGACGATTGAACCGAAACACGGCCACAGTGCGGATTTTGTTGACCGAATGAGTGGTGCACCATCGGCATGTATATTAAGAGTAATTGGATGAGTAGTTCTTTTTGTTGTTGATTGGTAACGAATACCACTTGGAATATCAAATGCTGGAAAAAGTTCTTCATGACCAGAAAAAAAAGAAAAATTTCGACGAATAATTGACTGTAATTTTTGTCTAATATTCATCGTAACAATTTCTGTCAATTGCCTTTTGGACAATTGTGACTCAGATAGAGTACAAGCTGAATTAGAACAATAATGTTGACTATTGTGTTTGGTTGTTAATGTTAAACAATTATTACAATAAAATTTTGTTACAAATGATGGAGTTTTACCAAATATTTTCAGAATTTGTTTAAATGTTGTTGGAAGTTTATTTGGTGTAGGTAAAATAGATTTTATTAAACGCATCATTGTAACTACTTTCTGTTTGTCGAAATTTGACTTAATACAAAATGTCATTAACTTTCTAACAGCTTCACCAGTTGTGATGATTGATTGGCGATATAGTGGCGGAGTATCATCTGATTCAAACGTACTATCATCACCTATTCTCACATTATCATGTTCGTCAGGTAAATAATGATCTTCAAAATAATCTTCTTCTTCACATTGATCGACTATTATTTTTGGTTCATCATCTGATAAATGATATTCAATATCGGTCATTTCAGCATCCATTAAATCTGTATCACTAACAAAGCTACTATTAACAGTTCGTTGATATTGGATCTTCTTTTTGTTTCTTTTGTGCCTTTGTCGTGCTACTTTTTGAGAATATGCATCAGTCGCGTCAGACATTTTCAAAAAATGTGACAAATATAATAAATCTGAAAATATAAAAATGGAAAAAGTTTTGGTTGAAAAGGATCAATTACAGAGCTTGATGGATGAAATCACAATTCATTGTAGGTACCTGAAGGTCTTGCGAACAGTTTTTCTCCAAAATATACTAGGTACAATACCTGATTTGTAGAATATTACTTTGTTTATTTTTGCTCATGAGAAGGACGAGTATTTTTTCTCATAAGAGTGTAACAAACAATTATAGACTAAAAGCGATCAAAATAAAAATACGTGAATATATATATATGTATATATATAAAACAAAGAAGCGTCGCCATTTTGTTGCATTGGTCAGAACTCATCCATCAATGAAAAATGAGATTGATATGACACATGGTTGAACACACTAATCTTGGAGAAGTTCCAAACTTCTCCAGTATATCACACTACATATACTCTTAAAGTAGCTTTCAGGTCAGAAGTTATTGAGAATTGCTATAATTTCTTCGCTTGAGTCAAAAAGCATTAAGTTAGATAAATTGTCGATTTGATCACACCATATCGCTAATATAAAAAAGTCGTCGATCAATCGCGATTAATTGGCGCTTTTTTCTTAATCGCGATTTTTCAGAATAGTAACGATTAATCGCGATTTTTTAAAATACCAACGATTAATCGCGATTATGAAAAAAACCGCCAATTAATCGCGATTAATCGTTAGCATTTTAAAAAATCGCGATTAATCGTGAAAACTTACGCGATTTTGACGACATGGGTTATATGTCGCTCCTCTTTTTTTTATCTTTGCTATATCCGTGACTAAAAATGATGATTTACTATTGAAAAACTTTTGTTTTTTCAAAAATAAAAATTAATATTCGTGTTTTTTCTTATCTTTTGATGTCGATTAGTCTCTATTGTGACAAAAGTCATTAAAATTGAGAATGTATTTAAAAGAATTGGAAATGTTATTTTACATATGTTTATTCTATTTGATTATTAACAAAAACAAACGATTAATATTTAATCGAAATTAATATAAAGAAAAAGAAACGATTGATCGAAATTTAAATAAATATTTAAAAGTATTTATTTCTCTCAATAAAATCCACAACAATAATGTCAAATAGATCAATTTCTATAAATATTTCTATCTTCTTTGTTTTCCTTGAAAAAGTTTTAGTTTGACATGATTGAGATTATTGAAGAAAATGTATTTCTCATTGAAAAGAGTTTTTATTATATTAAAGTAAATAAATTTAAGTCAAAAGAAAAAAAACGAGAATCGATTGCTATAGACAAAAATGCATATGACGATCGATTAATTATTTCATTTGCATATTTAATCAATATTTGTTTTTGCAAAATATTATGTTCTATTTTCATAAGACGAAAACCTATGAAGAAAGTTTATAAACACATGAGGTAGGCATTATGTGAATGCTAGTTCAGCTTTACATGAGTTCTTTTTGTGCTCAAATCTTTATCCGTATATTTAGCTGCAAGAAAGAAAACTTGAACTACTATTATAAGCAAGGATTTAAACTTCTGTAAAAAGAAAACAAAATCATGCATCAGACCGCGTTTTTAAGTATTCTTATCATTGAATGAGAGCGACATCTGTCAAACAATCGTTTGTCGAGATTTTTTAAAGAGTTTGAACAACATAAATTTGTTGAAAATATTTTTAACTATATAAATAAGATGATGAACTAGTTGTTCGATCATGTTTGGTTATTTGAATGCACCATTGATAATGAAAGTAGTTCTCATGATCAATGAATCATTCTTACTGTTTGGTGATCGACGACGACGATGAAGGAAGAAACGTAACAAATATGGATATTAAACTCCTTCGTCACGCTAAAAGAACATTCAGTCTTCAACTTAAATCACTATATTGATTAATATTGAGAAATTTGCTTATCATTCTACCAGTATTTCCTATAGTTTATTTAAAAAGGTAGACTTTCTTCAAGTTAAATTGTAGCAGGGTTTAAAAATATTCGTTCGACTTTTTAATCTATTCCGATCCAAAAATGATGAATAAATTAATGAAGATGATACATAAAAATAATTAGATATCGTTGAAATGTTTGATTTTGTTTCAGATTTTCTTTATTAAAATGAGTTCAGCATCGAATACTGTGCCGGCAACTCCTGTTGTTGACTCAATTGAAACCATTTTTTGTAAGTTTCTTCTATTTTTATGTAACATCAAACAAAATAAAGAAAAATCTTTCTCAACATATAATTCTTCATAGAGAATATTATTTTAAATAAATTTCAAATAAAGTTAATATTTACAAGTTGACTATTTACAAAAGATTAGAAAAATAACATCTACTATACTGATTATACACAATATGTTTGACATTTTTTAATTTATGTTTCTATTCTGATTAAATACATTTGATATTAACTTCAGTTTGAGAGCATAAAACTCTAAAATATATTCAAAATAATAGTTTTATTCTTATTTCACAATCCAACATATAAAATTTATCAAAGTTTAACATGTTTGAAATATCTTACGAGGGAACATTCCCAAGTGTCACATCGCTTTTGAGTTCAGACTCTATGCATAAGGTAGACCCCAGTGAGGTATGAAAAATCCCA